GGATAGAATTTGTCACTAAAAAAATGCAAGCCATCAACAACAAAATTTATCATCCCAAATTAAAAGCAATCATGGTTGAAATTTGTGGTCTAAAAATATAGTAAGCAATTAGGGATGAAATTTTTTGTCTAAAAAATAAGCCATTGTGGACAAAATGTTTCGTTACCATTTTATAGTTACATTTCATGATAAATTTTTATCATTAATAAAAATGTTTTCTCCCCACTCAAATCTTTCACAATTACGGATGAAATGGACTAATTCCGGATGAAATTAGATATAATTTAAGACAAAAATAATTGTCCGCAAATGATCGACATTCATGGACGAAAGTCAAATTCGTTCGCGATGATTATCCTTTAGGGACAATTTTTACTTTGCATCTGAAAATACAATTAACTATGCGGCTTTTGGAACGATTTAGGTCTACGTTCCAAAATGTTTTCACCGACGAATTTCAATTTTTTGGAGACGAATATTTTTGTAACTAAATTTCAAATTTGTTGTAGTAAGATAAACCAAATATACATGCTTGCAAAAAATAATCTATTTTATCAAAATTAAATGAGAAAATATTTTAATTTGTTTCCTTTTTATTAAACCTTTTATCTTTCTTTGCATTATTGAACAAACATGCATGGATGAAAAAATTATATAAATAATAATAGCTAAAAAAATATTCTTCTTCCGCTTACTATAAAAATCTGCACATTGAAAAACGCATGCGAGTAATAATCATCAAATATATCGATTTTATTGTATTACATAAAATGCTTCGCTGCTTCCAACATTGTATAGAAAGAACTCAATTTGTCACCAGGTACGATGCTGCTTCTCCCATAGTATAGCACATGGACCCAGCTAATACATACTAAATTAATTTTTAGAAAAAATGCGACATATATCATTATATTTAAAGATTGTATTCTTATATATTTAATTGCACCTTATCTATATTAAATAAATAAATAAAAAGTGTCTCCAATCTACCTTTCTTCAGATTTTAACTGTCAAAACTAACAAAAGCCCATTACGTGACTTGTGTATGACTAAGTTTATATTTTATATAACTAAAATATTTGTTTTAAAAAATTTTACATGAAGAAATGCTAAAAAAAGTATTCACATATGAATCGTTTACGCATGCAACTTATAAAACTGAGTGTTAAATCTCAGTTTACCAACCCTAATTAGAATCTCAAATCTTTTTCTCTTACTCCCCATCTCTTAATTAGGAGTATTTTAGACATATAAAATCTGAATTATTTGGTCATATACAAGTCACATAATGTATTTTCATTAGTTTTGCCTGTAAAAATTTGAGGAAATGATAAATTGGAGATAAAAAAATTTTAAAAAATAAATTGAATATAATTAAATATATAAAAACAGATTAGACATAACTCTTAAAATATAATTACATGTATAAGCATTTTCCCTCATTTTTAAGCCATATTCATATCTTCAGCAGACACCTTGCACTTACACCTCGATCCAGACATCCCAGCAACAGGTAAATCTCCATAAACACCATCCATTAACTTGAGAACTGTCTTCTTAAATTATTATGCCAATGAGACATAACATATTTGCAACATAAGGTGGTGCCATGTGATCAAGCAACATGTGGGGATGACCTAAATTAATATTTGAGACATTTACCTTAATCAGAGGTCTATTTTGCTGGAGAATCTTTAGAATTTTTTTACATGTACATCATGATTTCCTCGTCTCACGAACCGCATTTAATAATTTCACGTGAAGAGCAACATTTGCAAACAGTAAGGACGGTTGGGATAACAATAGATAAGGATTGCAATGGCCATTAATTCAATTTTTACTATATGTATAAAAAAAATTATTCATTATTTATTAAAAAATTATTATATAAATTTTTATGCAATCTACACTTAATTTATATTAATTTACTCATTTATTTAATATCAATTGAAAATATTTTATTAAAAATATTTTATTTCAGGTTCTGTAATTTTAAGAAAGGTTTTTTATCTTTAAAAATTATTATTACTTTTTTATTTGCATTTCGGTTATTTTTTTATAAGTTTTTTTCTTGTCTACAAAATTTTTAGAAAAAATACATTGGTTTTTAATTTTAAAATTATATAATTAGATTTCTATATTTTTTTAAAAAAATAATAAATATTAATAAAATAAAAAGTATATATTCATATTTTTAAACCATATTAACCTATATATAATTTTTTATCTTTCTTTATTTGAATATTTATTGAATATTTTTAATTAATGCTTATGGTGAGATAAAGCAATTATAGGTTTTATACCGACGTATGGCCATCCCTGCCAATAGAACATTAAAAAGGTCTTTTACATCGACAAGATGGGTGGCCCACATAGATTGGGATAATCTTCGTCAATAGATTAACATCCACTCCGTCTGATTTTTGCATCAAATTGAGGATTGCTAAACAGGGAAGGGAAAGAGTGTGAAACAAAAGAAATTTCAGATTTTGGTAGGGTTTATGGGACAAGTAAAATTTCTGCTGTGCTGCACTAATCAGATCTCTTGTAAGGGGCCCTCTTACAGCTTTGCATGTACAGTTCAGTTCGTGTGTCCCATCACTCCCTGTTATGTCAGAATTCGTTACATTTGACTTTTTTTTTACTGCACTGCACTTTTTAAGCTTCCTTTTGTTGGAGTCGGAATTGTGGCAACTGGGTTTTGGTGGACAACCAATCAATGCCACCATAAGTTCACGATTCTTTTTGGCCGAGCCAATTATTTATCACGCGCACACGGATCGCAGAGGTGGAGATTTAGTCAAGGGGATTAACATCTCACATATCAAGTAGTCATTTTTTAAGGCTAATTTTGAGAAGAATACTTACCTTACTGAATATCTTTTTGAAAATCACTCCTCCAAAAACCCTACACATTAAATTAGTTAGTCCACTAATAAATCCAGTAAGATTTAGTCACTAACTTTTCAGGAAGATTGTTTGTATAAAATTAGCATAATTCATCATTTTACTTTATTTCAAACAATTAAAATATACACATATATATCCTCATAAAATAGAGATAATCAAATACAGTTATATGGTCTCACCAACAGAACGCCATATAAAAGTTCTAACTAGAACCTTACGCTAAATACGTACTCATTGGAGTCAGTAATAATCCATTTTAGTTTCATGTAGCAGTCTTATAAAAGTCATTTTGTTCTATTTGCCATTTCTATGCTTAGAACCATGATTATGAGCTGCTGTAATGGTAGAATGATTTCAGCTAATACGTCAAAGCATGTCATAGTCACAAAGTCAAAACAAATTTCTTTATGGGAATTCTCTTTCTTGAAAAAGTCATTTCAGTAAATGAAGTTAGTTGCATCTGTCTACCAACTCTGCTAAATTTGGCCGGTACCATGAGGTTGAAAAACACCAATAGAATCCGAGTAGAAGATTGTATAACATCATTAGGGGATCACCGACTTGTATAAAACTGTAATTAAATGGCTCCTAATTGTTTCTAGATTGTGATCAAATTAAAGCTACTTTTCACTTGGGTACCCAAAATTCAACTGCTTTAAACAACAACATCATATTTCTGTCCGATTGGCTACCCTCCTAGATAACTAATTAATTCAAAGAACTAATTAGGAGTGCCTCAATTTGTCAATCCACGAGGATACAAAGAAATTAATTTCCAATGTCAAGGCATGTGCCAAGGTAAAGTTTTCTTCCATCAAAACAACACAATGGATAACAAAGTAAAGAAGATTGATTGTTTTCGGTCATTTTCCTTTTCACGTTGCATGTGTTTTAGGCGATGTCACAGTTGATAAATTAATTATTTGGCAGATCCATAATTTTACTTTTCCTTTCACACATAATAACGAAAGAGGAGAGTGCAACTAGTTATATGTTGAATAATTTCTTGATGACAGTTGACTGCGAAACTACAACAGGATTTATAGTGTACAATAACGTGACGCGAGGTAATTAATTATTTTGAAGTTTGGCGCGCGACAACAATAGGAGTCCCAGCTTGAATTGTAAACACTCACCAAATGCAATATTGCTACGTACCTTAGAAGAATTAAATAAATTCCAGATAGAGGGAAGCAATTAGGCCTCTAATTAAGAATAAAAATAACGTTAATTCAACTTATAATTGACTGGCGAGCAAGCCCTTTAAAATTAATTAGGGTGTTAAATCAAAATATTTTCTTGTTTATGTTTGCTATATATGCTTTTATTTTATTTTGTCAATGATGTCATTCACGGTGTTCTTATAGATATTTTGTCAATGATGTCATTCATAGTTGTCAAAACTTTTCATACCATATTGCTAACGGCTAACGAAGAGACATGAAATAACACTTTATTAAGAAAAATATGTTATGGGTTTGTAAAAGGTAAACAATATGGATTGGGCTCGCACATAAACGAGTTGGGCTAAGCTAAGGCAAAATGGTCTATTCACCCATTTAAGTTTTTTGACCTAAATCTAGACTTGTTCAAGATAGCTTTTATTTTTACCGTCATCGAACGGGTCCATTATGACATTTTATCAATCCAGATTTTTTATGGTGTTCTCTCGATTTTGTTCCACCATTATCCCCACCTTCCTCTCACTAAACAAGCCTAAATTAACCCATAAATACCACCTCTACTACCAGTATTGATGACACACAAGAAATCTTCTCCCTTTCTACTTCATAGTTCTTTGTTGGGTTCATATTATTTTTTATTGTTTCCGCTCCCGATTTTAATTCCGAAGTGTTGGTTTTATATTGGAAGATACGAAATAATATCCTTAAGGAAAATGATTACATGACTCCAACCATAACTATCCCGTACCCGCCCTTTTATATTTTATCTAACAATCTTAAGGATATCAATTAATACCATGGATGTTGTTGTCATCGCCGACGCTACTTCTGCCGAAGCTACCGCTCGCTAATGGTGGGAGTTCTTCTTTACCCAAAGCTGGAAAAAACCTACGAGCAACCCAACCCATGGTGGAGTCTCTTGTTGTTGTGCCTTTAAATCCAAGTAATGCCATTTGCCAAACCATTTATCAACATCTCCAAAACGAAGTCTTTGGTGGTCGAACTTTAAGAGATGGCAGGAACACTATTACTCCATCCTCAACATGCATGTTGTGGCTTGGGCGTTATCCGACCTCAAAGCGATGCAAATGCGAAGCATGGATTCATGCCAACAAGGTATGTAGGCACACTATAATCGGTACATTATCTAATGACCCGTTCAATTTTTACCGCACTTATAAGGAGGTAAAAATAATTTGGGAGTCAATGGTTATAAAGTACACTACCGAAGATGCTAGTAAACAAAAATTTGTAATTGGAAACTTTTACAAATTAGAGATAACGAGATGACAAAGACATCAATGCTCAAACCAATGAATATCACAAATTGCTCAAAGACATGAAGGTAGAAAATATCACCTTACCAAAAGACTTTGTGGATGAGTCGCTAATTGAAAAGCTATCAAACTCTTAGAGTGATTATAAGAACCAACTAAAGCACAGTGCAAAAGCAATTATCTCTTATTGACTTAATTACTCATATAATAATTAAAGATACCAATCGAAAAAAAGGCTCGAAATTCTAAGGATAAGAAATTGGGTTCAAAGGTAAACTCGTTACAAGTTAAGTCTCAAAACAAGAGGTACGCTCACAAAAACCTTGACTACTAGCCTAAAGTTGCCAACCCCATCTTCAAAAAGAAAGGCAATTACTTTGTTTGTGGGAATCCTAGCCATTATGTAGCTCAATGCAGGAGGAGAGTAAGAAATGAGAATCCTTCAAAGGCAAATCTCATTAAGGGAGATGACATAATTACTACTTTAATTTTTCAAGCCAATCTTATGAAAAATATGGGAGACTAGGTGGTAGACTTTAGGGCTTCCGGATACATTTGTGTAAACAAAATTGTGTTCTCCTCCTACACTCTTGTAGGGGATGAAGAAAAAGTGATCTACCTTCGAGACTCTCCGTAACACTCCCAACCTAGGACTTAAAAGATTAAGAATATTATCGTCATTAACCTACATTCGAGGTGTAATGAATGCAAGCTAACAAGGCACTCGTGGCTTAATCTTAATTTTTAACGTGTAAACTATACTAAAGAAACATAACATTGGCAAGGTATGTCATATACTTTAGCTAAAAAAAGCATTATAAATTTTTCATGTTTTATTCTTTTATTTATATTCTTTTGATTTGAAATAACTAAACATATGACAATTGATCATCCTAAATTCCTTTCCTATTAATCCGTATAAATTGGTTTAATTATTAACCATTGTTATTATTATTCAATTATTTGTTTCCTTGTATTATTTATCATTTAGGTTAATTGGCATGCATCTAATCATATTGCCTTATGTTTTAAGGATACTAACATGCAATAGATAATTTAAAGTAACGACATTACTATAGCTACACGACCATTTTATTATTAGTGCTTGTGATCACATACAAAATCAGTTATATGTCAACTACTACAAAATTGGCTTATTGACTAACTATATCATTTTAGAGGTACTTCGAGTTACTTGTTCATTGCTTTTATCATAACATAAAACAAACTAGCTAACCCTAACACATACAGGACAATAACTAGTACCAAAAATAGAATGGCATGCAACAGATTCACCTAGAAGCTAAACCCCCCACCCAATGTATATACGTTTGGTGCACCTCTCGAAAATCAGCTTGATTGAGAAATAAACCATCATACCTTAATTATCTACTTCACAAGGAACTATATAAGTGATAGCCTAATAAGTCAACTTATGCATGTCGTGTATGTGAATGTATATGCATATGTAAAACATTGATATATACACATTAAATCCTTTTTTTATGTCATAATATGTTTCATGATCAGCTTTGAAAATCCTTTTTTGTCTCGAAACATGTCCTATTTAGGTACTTCGCATTTTTCATAATATGTGTTCGATGAACCGGACTTGTCTACGGACATGAAAAATATTTTGTTTGCTTAGAATATTTATTAGAGGGGGTGTTAAATTATTTTTTATGATTATGTGAATTATTTTATATGTTATGAATATTTTATTTAAATTTTTTATGTGTAGGAATATTATTTATGAGGTAGAATAATTAAATTAGGCACTTAGAAAGTAAGAGGAATTTTTTTTTTGAAAGGCATAAGAAAATCATTTGGGATGTATAGGAGTATTTAATAAATTTAAATTAATTTTTCTATATATAAGGAATATTTCTTAAAGGAAATAGTGTACTTTTTACACTAAATAATTAATTTGGATGCCTAAATGAGGATATAAAAATTATGTAAGTCATGATTAAATTCTTTTAATAAATTTTTGAATTTATTTTGGAATGAAATTGAATTTTGGAAAAGTATAGAATAAAATTTTAGAATTAAGGACCTAATTGCATAAAAATTAGAGACTCGATTACATAAAATTAAAAGTTTAAACTTTTAAATTAAATTAGCTATGAACCTAAGGAGTTAAAATTTGTTAAGATATCTTTAAGAGAAGGACCTAAAGCAGTAAATTGAAAAATTAAAGGATGTTTGGATGAGTAATTAGAGAAAATGTTAGTAAAATGAGGGACTAAAATTAAGGATTTTTTTGGACACTTCTCCACCCTTCCAATCGAATTTTTCTGCATGATTTGGGGCTAATTAATGAGCTTTGACTCATTTAAAAAGGAAAGGTTAAAAGGGATGCAAAATGGAGGAAAATTAAAGAAAAAATAAAGGCTAAAAACTTATCCAATTGAAGGGCTAGGATTAAAAGTTAATTTAAGGACTAAGATTACTCCAAAACAAAGCAATTCAATGGTGGATATGAGGTCAAAAGTCCAACAAATATTTTCCTATAAATAGCTTTGCAACAAATTATAGAAAATGCATGGAAAATAGCTAAAACCAAGGGAAATTCTTGCAAAATTTTCTTAGAAAATTCCATCCAAAATCCACTAAAATCACCTCCACACACCTTAAATCAACTAATCAAACAAGGAAATCAAGTTAGAAGATCAAGAATTATCAAGAAGACAATTTGAAGTTTGGACCGAATTGGTGGAGAAAAGAGGGAGAAAGAAATTGCTTAATCTTACCACTTTTTAAAGTTTAATTAGGTAAGTTAACTCCATCTATATCACAAGGGTTATTTAATTGATGTTAATTTGTCATTTATGTGCCTTAATTTGTGAATTTTAGCTTTAATTTTGAAAATTAGGGTTAGGGTCCTTGATGAACTAAATTGGAAAAAATAATATTGAGCTTATAATTCATGAAATTAAGGTTGAATTATGTCAATTGGAATTAAAATTGAGGCTTGAAACTTAAAAATTTCTAGGGTTGTTTAAAGGGGAGCATTCAACCTAAAGTTTTGGTTTAGGGCTTTTTGATGTTTTCATGAAATTGATGTTTTAGAGGTTGAATATGACATAATTAGGTATGAATTAGTGTTTAGTAATGAATAACCTCACTTTAATTGAAGAAAAATTCATCAAATTCCTATGGTTACATTTGACCTAAACTTGATTTTTTAGGGTTTGAGTTTCACTCATGCAATTCATGATTTATTGGTTAATTAATATTTGAATAAGTATAATGTGATGTGTAGGAAGGTAAAATTTAAAGAAAATTGAAGAAAATTACTTAATTTGACTTATTCCCAATTTCGGCCAAATTCGAGCTTATACATGCAATTGTACCTTAAATGTTAATAGATTAATTCCTAATTAATAATGTAAGTCTAAACTAGTTAGTGTTAAAATTTTAAGATGAAATGAAAAGAAAATAATAGGATTTAACTTATGGGTATGTTCGACCTAAGCGAGGCAAATTTAGGGTTTAGATTCCAAATGGTTTTTTAGCACTTTAGTTGATTAATTCAAGCTTACAACAATGTAATTAGGTGAATTAGAATGAAAAACTTCATTAAGATCTAAAAATTAACCTATTTTAGCAAAGTTAGGACTTAGGCCCAAATTAATGCCAATGCATATAAGTTATCCAAATAACACCTAATTGTGTTGATTCATGAAATAGGACATAATTGAGAAGAATTTGATATGTAATGGATGTTAGAAATTGGAAGAAAATGGTTAAGTAATGTTAGGACATAATTTGGCTTAATGTGGGAAACATGGGACTTTGATTTATTTTGTATGACTTTGTGTATAATTGTGTTTTAAAAGTAGCTTCAATGAAAGATGTGATAAAAAAAATTGATGACCAAGATGAAGAAGCAACTTGACAAAGAGAAGTTGAAATGCGAGCTCGGTATCCCAAATTATTTTAGTAGAAATTTTGAGGATGAAATTTTCGTAAGGAGGAAAGGATGTAATAACCTAGTATCAGCTTAAAACTAAAACATTTAATAAAAATTTAATATTAAACACATGTAAGAAATGTTTTGAAGGTATAAAATAATCTTTAAGGGCTTGAAAGAATATTTAGAATAGTTGAAATAGTCTTTCTATGCTTGATGAATATTTTATTAATTTTTACGGTACATGAATAGTAATTTTCACATGAAATAATTATTTAAAGCATGTTGCATGTACATGTATAATATTTTATTTGCTTAGAATATTTGTTAGAGGGGTGTTGAATTATTATATGTGATTGTTTGAATTATTTTATATGTTGTGAATATTTTATTTTAAATTTTATCTGTAAGAATAGTGTTTTAGAGGTAGAATAATTAAATTAGGCACTTAAAAAGTATGAAGAATTTTTTATAAAGGGACAAAAAAAAATTATAGGATTTTTAGGAGTACCTAATAAATTTAAATTAATTTTTCAATGCATAGTGAAGATTTCTTATAAGAAATAGTGTAATTTTGACACTAAATAATTAAGTTGGAGGCCTAAATGACGATTTAAAAATTATATAAATTATGATTAAATTATTTTAATAAATTTTTGAATTTAATATGGAAAGAAATTGAATTTTGGAAAAGTGCAGAATAAAATTTTAGAATTAAGGATCTAATTGCATAGAAATTAGGAACCTAATTACATAAAATTAAAAATTTAAACTTCTAAATTAAATTAGCTATGAACCTAAGGAGTTTAAAAGTTATTAAGATGCATTAAGAGGATGACCTAAAGTTGTCAATTGAAAAATTAAAGGATGCGTGGATGAGTAATTAGAGAAAAGGTTAGTAAAATGAGGGACTAAAATTAAAAAAATATCCGGACACTTCTCCACCCTTCTAGCCAAATTTTGATGCATGATTAGGGCCTAATTAATGAACTGTGACTTGCTTAAAAATGAAAGGTTAAGAGGGATCCAAATTGGCGAGCTAGGAATTAAAGAAAAATTAAAGGTTAAAAACTTGTCCAATTGAAGGGTGAGGATTAAAAGTTAATTTAAGGACCATGATCACTCCAAAACACAATAATTCAATGGTGGAGATGAGGTCAAAATTCCACCCAAAATTTGGGTATAAATAGGGATGCAAGGAATTATGAAAATGCATGAAAAATAGCTAAAATCAAGGGAAACACTTGCAAAATTTCCCTAGAACTTTCCACCCAAAAACCACTAAAACCACCTCCAAACACCTTAAATAAACTAACCAAGCAAGGAAATAAAGTTAGGAGATCAAAAAATTATCAAGGGAAAATTTACAAGTTAGGCCGAATTTGGGGGAAAGAAGAGGAAGGAATAATTTCTCAATTATCTCACTTTTGAAGTTTAATTAGAGCTTATTTAGGTAAGTTAACTCCACCTACATTATAAGAGTTGTTTAATTGATGTTAATTTGTGGTTTATATGCTTTAATTTGTGAATTTTAGCTTTAATTTCAAAAATTAGGGCTAGGGTTCTTGATACTAAATTTGGGGGAAATGGATTTAAGCTTGTACTTCATGAAATTAAGGTTGAATTATGTTAATTGGACTTGAATTTGAGGTTTGAAACTCAAAATTTTTTAAGGTTGTTCAAGAGAAAGCATTCAAC